CTATCCTGACCCACTCCTTTATACTCACCTCCCACCATTGCTTTGTACAGAAATTGCATATATTTTGTATTTGTTTCTCTGCGTACGCATTGTTTCCCTTTAGTAAAATGTAATCTCCTGGAGGTCAGGTACTGTTTATTTTTTTTGTCTTTGTAGTACAGTGCCTGGTGCACAGAAGGCACTTAATAAATGCATGTTGAGTATATTGCCTGTTTTTTATCGTCTCTGCTTTTTCTGAGACCTCTGGTCCAACCCCTTCCTTTCACAGAGGAAGAAGCCCAGAGAGGCTATGGGACTTGTCCAGGGTCACCCAGCACCTCGGGGCTGATGCCATGACTAGAATCCAGAGGACTCACATGAGGACCCTCTCTCTCAAAATAGCATTATAATTTTTTTTCCAATTACACATAGAGACAATTTTCAACACTCATTTTTTGAAAGATTTTTGAGTTCCAAATTTTTCTCCTTCCACCTCTCCAAGACAGCAAATAATCTGATATAAGTTATACATGTACCATCATGTAAAACATATTTTCACATTAGTCATGTTGTGAAAAAAGAAACAGAACAAAAGGAAAGAAAACATTAAAAAAAGTGAAAGCAGTCTGCTTCGATCTGCATTCAGACTCCAACAGTTCTTTCTCTGGAGGTGGAGAGCATTTTTCACCATGAGTCCTCTGGAATTGCCTTGGATCACTGTATTGCTGAGAAGGGCTAAGTCTGTCAGAGTTGATCATTGTTACAATGTTACTGTTACTGTGTGCAACCTCCTCCTGTTCTGCTCACTTCATTCAACATCAGTTCATGAAAGTCTTTCCAGGTTTTTCTGAAGTCAGCTTGCTCATCATTTCCTATAGCATCATAATATTCCCTTACATTCACATTCCACGACTTGTTCAGCCATTCCCCAATTCATGGGCATCCCCTCAATTTCCAATTCTTGGCCACCACACAAAGAGCTGCTCTAAATAGTTTTGTACACGTGGGTTCTTTTCCTGTTTGTGTGGTCTCTTTGGGATACAGCCTAGAGCTGGCTGGGTCACAGGCCATGCACAGTTTTATAGCCCTTTTGGCATGGCTCCAAACTTCTCTGAGGGCTCTTTCAGCACTTGGCCTCTAAACTCACGGACAAGAGAGAATCTGAGGTCTGATTCCTGTCCACAGTAGGATTATAATCCCTCGCTCCACATGCCACAATGATCGCTCAAGGAAAGGGGACAATGCATAGTGCACTCAGTGTCTTCTGTGGGTCCCAGCCTGTCTTAGTCAGTCCCCACCAAGGCCTCTCATCTCGGGGACCCTGCTCCAAAAGTGGTCTGACTTCCCTCATTCCACACCAAGGCCACTTTTCCATGACCATCATTACCACCGTTGGCAAGCTCTCTGCTTCTGGCCCTCCCAAATGCCCCAGCAGAGCCACAGTTGATGACCACCTTCCTTGGCCCACTGGGTCTCTTCCACCCAGCACCAAAGTTGCAGCAGTTGCAGATGTCGGAGGCCAGACATTTAGCTCCCCTGACAAGAAAACCGGATGCCTGGGGCCAGGAATGTTAACCTGCCAACCATAGGAGCAGAGGGCTAGAGCTCAGAGGGACCTTGCCTTGCTGCAGGGAGGGCCCAGGGAGAGTACCTCGGGAAAATCACTGTGGCCTGGTCTTCCGGCTTGGCTCAGGCCTCTGCTTTGGCCCTTTCCACCTCAATTGTGTGTAGACAGGACTATCTGCATGTGGTCTTCCCTATTAGCATGTGAGGGCATTTCCTGAGGGCAGCAGGGCCTGTTTCATGCTGGTCTTTGTATTCATAGAGCCTAGCACAATGACCATCACACATGGGGCTTAATAAATACTCATTCAATCAAATGAATAAAAATGGGCTGGAATGAGGTCCTCTCTGACCATCTACTGATCTGTATTCTAAGTTACACAGACCAGGGAGTTCGGGATTAGATACATGAATGCACCTTTCTGGTGGCTGTATATACGTAACAACCTGCACATAGCCCAGTGGAGGCTCGCACTCCAGCCCAGCCTCACTGCCTCTCACCTACTCCTCAGTAGGCTTCTGTTGGGAGCGTTGATGCACAGCCAATCTCACAGTGCCTTTTAATCATTGGCTTTCAGATAAAGGAAGCTGCCCCCTCCCCTCCAGTTGTGCAGGGGCTGATAACCATCCGTCTCCATGGTAACCATTCTTTGGAGCCAGGCAAACAAGAGTCCCCCAGACATGCAAGAGTGACGTCACATTGAACCCAGTGGCCATCTGGCATCAACTCAAGAAACCGAGGCAAACATTCACAGACTTGTTTCCTTCCTCCAGAATTCTGCCCACAGGCCCCGGCAGGCCAGATTGCAGAGTGTTGTCCTTACCACTGCTGAAGGTCATATCCTGCCAGGGAATGATCAGCCCTCTGGGTGGGTATAGGACGAGGGGGTGTGCCCGGGACCAGGCCATCCTTTATGTGGGCAAAGTCAAGGGTGGGCTGCCAACACCATAGGAAAGGGTCATTCACACTCCTATGCACACTTGTGTGCACATACACAGCAACGCACACATGCCAGCATCACCTGAATTACCTTAATAACAAAAACTGGAGACCATTCGCCCGAGCTCTCTCTTTTCCCTTCCCTTCCTTTTCCTCCTATGTCACTCCAATGGCTTCCCCCTGCTCCGTCCTCCATCGCCTCTGTCTCACATGTAATGGTGGCCCTTCTCCCGACAGAGGCCAATCCCCGCCTGCCTGAGTGATGCCGTCCTGTCTTGTCTTTCTCAGCTCCTTGCCCCCTCTAGCATCCTGACCCTCACTTATCTTCTGTCTCTCCCTCTCCCCTGTCCTGATCCATCCCTCCTCCCTGTCTCTCCTTCCCCTCATGGCCATCCACCAGGGTACCTTGCCCACCTCTGCTCTTCCTCACTCTCCATCCTCTCCAGTTACTAACGGTCCCCGAGGTGTTACATCCAATGGCCTTTCTCAGTATCCACCCTTCTGGATGTTTCTGCCTCCTTGGATGCTGGGGCTGCTTTCTTGGTACGCTCTCCTCCTCACCAATCTGATGCACCCTCCATTGGATGCCAAATGGTGCCTCCTAAAACAAAGGTCCGGCCCATATCAGTTTATCTCCAAGATAAAACGTAGAGTCCTTTGTCTGGCCCTCAGATCCCTTCGTGACCTGGTCCCTTTCTCCCCTTTCTCCTCTCCACACCCGCAGTGATCCAGTAACACTAACCCCCTGGCCACCATGGCTGTTGCTCTAACCCTACTCCAATCTCCTGCCGCCCCGAGTTTTCACCAGCTGTGCCCCCTGCCCAAAGCCTTCCCTCGGTTCATCTCCATCTGCTGGACCCTCCCTCAAGGGTCAGCTAAAGCTCCAGTGTCTACTAGACACCTTTTCCAAGTCTCCTTGATCTCATGCCTTCCCTCTGAGATTGTCTCCAACTAGCCCGCTGCCATCTTGTCTGTACAGGGTTCTTTGCATGCTGTCTCCCCAGGAGATCCTAACCTTCCTTGAGAGGGGGGCCGTCCATTTTTCATCCTGTTTCTTTGCATAACACCACTTAGCATAGTGCCTGGCACACAGCAGGTACTTAATAAATGTGGCGGACTGACCGATTGGATCTGCCTCCCTCCAGCACTGCAGATCTCCTTCGGTTGCTACCTTCCCATCCTGTCTGACCAATGACTTTTCCCACCTTCCTACGGCTCCCATTCGAGCTTTCTGCCCACTCACACGTACCCTCTGGCAGAGCCTCTTCTAGCACCCCAGCCCCGCAGAGATTCATATAGAAGATGTGGTCAGAGCCTTACAGGCAGGAAGGGTAGCCTCCCACTCCCCTCTCCTCCCCAGCCCGCATCCCCCAGGTCACTGTCTGCACTGTCCCATCAAGGATCAGCAAGGAAGGATTAGGTCTGTCCCACTTGGGCATCAGGTGTTTTCTCCCAAATTGAGTGTTTACCTCCTGCATGGAGCAGAAAGCACACACACACAGAGAATGATTGGAGGCATACCAGGGAAGGCCTGCCCCATCCTGCCATTAGAGATCTGGAAAACTTGGAGGAGACGGGTCCCGGGGGGACTTCCAGGGGCAGCTGGCCACTTCCACTTCCTCTCCTTGACCGCAATTGGCTACCTGACTCCCTTTTGATTACTGGCTATCCTAGCAAGAAAGTAGAGGTATTGAGATGGACAAAGGGCCCCAGGATGCTGCTTGACATAGAGGAATGCAGAAGGGCTCTCCTTGGGAAGGCAGCTTCTTTTCCCAAATTGGAAGGCTTGCAGCCTCCCTCTGTCTGCCTCAGATCCAGGCAGGAGAGGCCCAGGGATGGTGTCCATGAAGAGCGGGACACATTGTCATGGTGGGCAGGGTCCCAGGACTGATATGAGGCAGGCTCCAGGCCATTTCTCAGGGCAACTGGCACTGGGTAGCTTCCAGCTGACCATCCCTACTCCCATTCCTCTGTCAGCCTGTGGCACAAAAGGCTGGGTGATTCCCCGCTAGTCTGGGAGACCCCCGCTCCTGCTTCCCACTCTTCCTCCTGTGTCCCATTTCTGAATGGCCTGCCTCCCAACCAAGGTCTGAACTTGCTAAGATTCTCACAAGGCTAAGGCTTGGTAAGTCTCCCTTGTTATCCTTCCTACAGGGTACTTGCATTTCAGTAGGAAATTCTGGGAGATGAGAGCTCTTCATGACCCAAAGGATGGATGTCTCACACTAGAGACACTCCACATGTGCTGGGGAGAGAACTGGGAGCAGGGAATCCTTCCTGGTCCTCGCCGGTGGCCACCTGGCCCACCTACTTTGAAAGCTAGCCCTGATGAGATGACTCCTGCACCGAGGGTGGTCCTCGTTGTGGGCATGCCGGCAGTTTCTTCATAGGATCTCACCCCCAGCCCCTCTCACCTGCCCCAGGCATTTAAACCTCACCCTCGTCAGCCTCAAAGGGCACAGAGCATTCCGTTCACCTCTGTCCCCCAGAGGTCATAGCAACAGAACAGCCTGGGGTTCTTGAATCCTGTGCCAACACAGTCCCAGAGTGAAAGGTAAGGGTTTTTTCCTGGCCCTCACTTCTCCCTCAGGCAAACCTGACACAGCCCTTGTGGGTCTCAGAGACCAAGCTACATCACTCCCCACTCTCCTCTCTGCTCTACAAGGAGATAAGCACTGGAAGAGGAGATATGCCCAGTGCTCAAGGGTCCCCAGCATCATGGAGCCAGGGCTGGGAGAGACCTTGGACATTGACTAGAAAAACCCTTTCACTTTACAGATGAAGAAACTGAGGCCTGGTGTGATTCAGTGATTTTGGTAGGATTCAAACCCAGATCCTCAGACTCCACAGCCAATGTTCTATGCACTGTGTTGTGCTGTCTCCTTCCAGCCAGGAGGCTCACTGCTTGGGGTGGGGGTGACACACCACGGACGGCAGACCCCTGTAACTCTGCCCTTCTCCCTTCTCTCCCATTTCTGAGATCTTTCATATTTGTTCAGGAATGCCAGCATTCTGCTTGGGAGGCAAACCAGTGCCCCACCCTGCCGGCGCAGGATCGGAGGTCCCTCTGCCCAGCACCCCACCTTCACAGGATCAGGATGAGAGCTCTGGGGTCCATCTGTGGAGAGCTGAGGTTCACTGCAGGCCAGGATGGTGTGGGAGCGGCCCCATTGGGATGGATCATGATGGTCTCAACACAAGGTATGTGGGTCAGTGTCGACTTAGCTTTTCATGGAGTTTTCATGGGGCTGGGCTGGACCTCGTTCCACTCAATAATGGAAGCAGAGAGTACAAACTTGTCCAATTTGCAGATGGCATTATAATAATGATAATAATAAGTAACATTTATATAGCACCTACTGTGTGCCACTCACTGTTAAGCACTTCACAATGTTTATCTTATTTGATCCTTACAACAACTGTAGGAGGCAGGTGCTATCCTCATTTTACAGGAGGGGAAACTGAGGTGTGGCTTGTCCAGGTCCATGTAGCTAGTGTCTGAGGGCCCAGTGACTCTGGGCCCAGGGCTCTATTTACAGCACCACCCGCTGCCTCATGACCTGGAGGTGAGAGGTGCCCTACGCTGGAAGGCTGGGAAGCTTCTCAGCCTTTCTCGAGGGGCTTCTCCTAGGTCTGAACGGTCCTCCCACCTCGGGCACTCCAGGGGTCTGTGATGCTTGAGAGTTTTCTCTCTCCTGGTAACCCCTCATTTACCACATGAGGAGACAGAGCCGGGACGGTTAGGAGACCTGCTGCCCACAAAGTGATTCTTCCACATTTTACTGGATGCTAGGTTTGTGGTGGTTCTCACTGGCATCTTGGGGCTCAGAGGTTCACAATCTTCTGCTTCCTGAAGACAGTCACTTAGGTATCTCAGCTGGTGCATATACAGAAATGACTTTACTTGATTTCTGGATGCAAAAGTCAAATCGCCCCCTCCACCTAGGCCACCCCATGAATCCATTTACTTGTCCTTGCCTTGAAGCATGCAGTCCTAGAAGGGGCTCCATTTTGGTGTCTTAGATCCCAGCCCACCCTGTCCCAAGAGAAGGGAAGCCTTTATTTCTCTTGAGGAGTTTGACTCCTCAGCTTCCCCTCTAGGAAGGGGAGCAGTGATTGCTAAGAGCCAGCCGGCATTCATAGAACCAGCCATGCCAGACTAGCCCCTTTTCCTTTTGTGACAGGGTTACTGAGCTGCTGGTCGAGGGCAGGGATTTGGAGATGGTTAACTTGTATCTCATTTGTATCTTGTTGGGAAGGAGAGATTCAGGCTGCATAAGAGCACAATCTGATTGGATTCACAAGTGACTGGGCAGGCATACTCATGATTCAATGTCAGTGGCAAGAGGTCTCTAGAGGAGGGCCTCAGGGGCCTCTGCTGGGCCCTGGGCCACCAAATGTCTTTTTCAGTGACTTGGATAAAGGCATAGCTAGTAAGTGTCTGAGGCCATATACAACCCTTTTCCTGATGCCGGGCCCAGCTCTCTCTCCACTGGGTCCCTTGGCTACTGATGGAACTGGATGGGGTTAGCCTAGAGAAGACTGGTGGGACCGCAGTGCTTAAGCTCAAGCATTTGAAGGCTGTCATGGGAGGGGGATTATTCTGTTTGGCCCCTGAGAGCAGAACTGGGACGGGGGAAAGGCAAAGAAGTAAACTTAAGCTTGATTTCAGGAAAGAAAATCTCCTCACATTTAGTGCAGCCCAAAGGTGGGATGGACCACCCGGAGAGGTGGTGAGCTCCCCGTCAACGGATGACTACCTGTCAGGACTACTTTGGAGTGAGTTTGGCTCCTGGGATTCTGGGATTCTCTGTGATTTCCGAGATTCTCCTCCAGTTTGGAAGAGGAACCATCTAGTTTGGTCAAACCTGAGTGTCGTCCATTCATTTCTGTGTCCCAAGCTATCCTTTTTCCAAGGTTTAGTAAGTGAGTGATGTGAGTATCTGTCATCCTGCTCTCTCCCCTCCACTTCCTACTTCACCTCATTCCCCTCCCCACTCACAGAATGCCTTGGGCTGCCCAGGCTGCCCAGGTTCTCTTCTGAAGCATCTCTGGGGATTCTTTCCAAAGAAAACAGCAAGCAACAGCTATGTCCTTGGTGTACGCAGGAAACATCTCCAGCGGGTGCTCAGTAAGGGTAACACAAAGGGGAAATCCAGCCTTCCTCTCCAATCTCATCTTCAAAAGAAAATGGCATCCTCCTTCACATCTGTTCTCTTTGGGAGGGCTGCATCACAGGGGAGAGGGTCAACAAGTATCCAGGTTACCAATTGAGCTCTTCCCCTGCCCCCTTCATCTCACCCTCACCTTAAAGGTCAAATTCATTAGCCTTAAGATTAGGTTCCTCTTTCTGGTCAGGCCTGCTTGGCCACAGCCCCACTGGCCTCCCTTTGGTCTGAGTTCTGAGTCCAGGAAGTGCCTGGAATCACACTGAGGCCTTGCCTTGTCTTCTCCCAGCTCAATCCAATTTGACATTCAGCACCTGAGTCTAAGTGCTGGGGATACAAAGACAGAAAGTAGATAGTCTCTGCCTTCAGGGAGCTTATACTCTCCTGGGTGCCTGGGCCAGTAAAGCAGACGCACTGACTGCAAAGCAATGTGGGGTTGAGGAGAGCCCTTTCTCTTTCAGCTGCCATTCCCTTCTTCCTTTCTTCTTCCCTTCCCCTGAGATGATCCTCTTCCTCCCCACCCCCTAACTTCTCTCCAACTTTTCCGTGAAAGAGTCGGTGACCCTCGTTGGCTTCTTGCTTCTCTCAGGCTCTCCAACTGAACAGAGCCTTGAGACTCTTTCACCAACAAACACTATACCTACTTTTTCTCCTTCTAATCCTCCTTTGAGATCTCCCTTTGCAAGGAATGTGTGGAAGAGTAGACAGGAATTCACTGACCCGTGAGTTTTTAGCTCAAAGGGCATAGGTTACATTTGGAAGGGATTTTAGGCATTTTCCAGCCCAAAGCCTTCATTTTACAGGCAAGAAGATGATTACCATCAGTACTTAGGGATCTGGCTGGAGTCCAGGGTAATCCAGCATCTGAGAGAGAATTTCAATAGTGACACTATTTCATCCCCACCAAGGGTATAGCCACCGACTCCACTTACAAGCACACAGGTTCACAAAGCTCAAATTAGGAATATTTTTCATGATTTTTATTATTTTACGTCAGGGACAGCCAATAGATCCCTAGCAGAGCCCTTAAAAATGTCCAAGCCCACCAGCGAACACTCTTATTTGTGCCTCCAGAGGCCTGTGTAGCCTCAGTCAACTGGTGCTTGCTGAAGCTCCCATGGGGTGCGGTCCTGAAACCGGTCCTGCATCCACTTCACTCACCCATCATCTGGCCCACATCTCTCCATCTTATCCTCCAGAAGACAGACTGTGTAAGCCTTGAGAATTCCAGGGAAACTTCTGAAGGAATCCCTCTGATTTACCAGTTTAGTCACCCTGTCGCAGAAAAAAAATGAGATCAATCCGGCATAACCTGCTCTCGGCGAAGATCTTGGCTTTTGAGTAATCCCTGCTCCTCCTTCTAAATGTTCACCAACCACTGTTTTAACAGGTTCTGTCAAGTTCATTGTATATAGATTGCAAACTCCGCCCTCTTCCCTTTTCTGAAAATCACTCATCTTCTGAAGTCCTGCAGCAGCTCTCTCCCATTCTCCGAAATCCTGGGAACATCCCTGCCACGGTTCTGTTCTTTCCATAGCCTGAAACTGGGTTTGTGTGGGCCTGGATGTTTGAGGTCTGAAGCCTGCTCAATGCTCCTCTAGTGTCTCCTCATCTACCTTCAAGTTCAACTCCCGGGGGCCATTTTTGTTCTAGCCATCACATGGGAAGTTCTCAGCAGAGAAAGGAAAAGCTAGAAAGAGCTGAGTGGTTAGCACCCTCCCTCTTACTTGTTAGCATCCTTCCCATTCTGAGCAGAGCTCCTGTCAAATCTTTGATCTTCCTCTGGTCCCCAGTAGACCCAAAGAAAAATTGTTTTGCCGTCTTACCTTTCTGAGTCAGCCCCAGCTCCGTCTGGGTTTGTGGGCCCTTGACACAGCCTCAGAGGATGGAGCCTTGCCTATCCACACCCTCATTACCTTGTCCTGCTTCCATCTCTTAGACGCAGGTTTTCTGAATTTGCTTAGAAAGAAGAGCTCCTGCCATCTTACCTGGGGCTCAGGTTAAGGAGAAAGTGTTAGAGACCTGGTTCCAGAGTCAACATGTCTCCTTCCCTCCTAGAAGCCATACCTGCATCCCTGGACTTCGATTCAGGGAAAAAATCTGGGTTCAATTCCTGGATGTATCACTTGGGAGCTGTGTAACCTTGGGTGAATCAATGATCCTCCCCTGTATTTTTCTCTCCTGTAAACAGGGATGTAATTCATGTAATACCAACCTCAAAAGGTCATGAATAGAGAGTGAGTTACAGTTGGGAAAAACTGAGTTCAAGTCCCACCCCTGACTTACTGGCTGGGAGACCCAGGGCAAATCACTTATGCTCACGGGGTCCCAGGCAGCTTTCTATGGCTATAACTCACAGGGCAGGTGGCCACCTGCATTGGTGGCTGGAGTTTTTGTCCTGGAAGCTCCCAATATCAATGAACTCCACAGAGTCTGCCCCAAAATACCAAGCTAGCGGGATGCATTGCAGACATAACACATAAACTTAGAAGTATAAGTGTTATCATTATTACTCCTTGATCCAGTCAGTGAGACGGTTGTGCTTTTCCCTTCAAAGGCATCCTTCCAATGGAGAAAATTGCTGCTCATTCGGCTCCTCCTGGCTGGGGATTGCTGGGGCTCCACGCTCCCTCAGCCTGGAGCCTGGGGATTTCATGCACAGGCTTCCTAGCCCACCGCTCATCCCTTTCCTCATTTCCTTCTCCCGGAGCAGGCGACATGAGCAGCGTCTAGAGTGGCTGGCAAGCCATTGGGAAAGACTCCTTTCAGAAGGTGGGGCTTGAGCTGAGATGTGAAGGAAGCTAGAAGGCAGAAATGAGGAGGGAGGATAGGCCAGGCTGGGGGACAGCCAGTGCAAATGTCTGAGGAGTCAGGAGATTGAGGGTCACATTTGAAGAACGGCAAAGAGGCTGGTGTCACGGGATGACAGGGTTGGTAGAAGGGGCCTGATACAAAGGGCTTTAAAAGCCAAAGAAAGGATGTTATATTTGATCCTGGTGGTGATAGGGAGCCCCTGCAGCGTACTGAGTAGGG